ATGCTGATTTGAAGCATCAAGAAACATTTCTTATTATTATCAATGTTGCAAACAGTTCTGCTGCTTTTTGAGAAAACTACGATACAATTTTTAATGGATTCTTGAAGTTCAAAACAGCAGCATTTAATTGAAATAAAAACTTTTGTAACAATTTAAAAGCCTTTACTGTCACTTTTGTTCAATTTAATGCATTAATTTAATGCAGAACACAGAAAATAATTGCTGTGTTTTAAGATGTTATATTGCTAACTATTGTCCGTGTTTGTTAACATTTCTCTTTTGCTTTTTTATGCAGGTTTATTCGTGTTGTGGGGACACATAACACTATAAACAAAGTGTTTCACTTGGTGGCTCTGGAGTGCATGTACACACACCAACCTTTCACCTTGGAGAAAGGCCTACTGGGTAATGTAGTTTTCTTAATTTCAGGAAGTTACTCCTACATATCAGCTTGGCTACTGAAACTCATGTCTCCTTGCAGTTCCCACAGAGAACGTGGCAACCGTGCAGGCATGTGCTAGTGTGATAGAGGGTGTGAGTCGCTGCAGAAACGCCCTGCTGAATGGGGACACAAACCACTATGACTGGGACTCGGGATACACCTGCCACCAGCTGGGCTCTGGAGCCATCGTTATTCAGCTCGCTCAGCCGTACATGCTGAGCTCAATGCGGTACGAGAGCTTATGTTCAGGGTTCAGTACAAGTTAAAGGTTTTAATTCTGTCATGATTTACTCACTCTCGTGTCGATGCGGAATGAATTTCTTCGGTGAAACATAAAAAATATTGTTTAGATGATAATAAATTAAATTCACAGACTGTCCAGCTCAAAAAATGACATAAAAGTAGTCCATATGACTTAGACGGTCAAAAGTGCATGGAACCAACTGAAATTGAATCAGTTATTTGCCAAAAACCTGCTCTGCCACAGATCTCCAATCTAATAACAGTGGATTCAAAAGCACTTACAGTGGAAGTAAATGGAAAAAAAAAACAGGGCGAGGTAATAAATTATGCAATACACACTGTTTCAAAAGTGTAGCCAAAAACGTAGCCGCAAGACTTAAACATTATACACGTTAACACAAGAGTAGACAGACACAAGTCTAAAATGACAGTCCTACTGCTAAAATTATGATTTAGACAACATCTAGAAAAGTATGCAAAAGTAAACTAAAATCCCCTTTAAAAACAACTCAAATTCAACTTTAAATCAAAATCAATATCACCATGAATTGTAGAGGCCCAGTGTAATGCTAAATTATTAACATAGCATAGTTAGACTTAACAGGAAAATTGACAGTATTGTAAATGCATAACAGCAAAAGTGTGCTTTGTCGTTTTGGTTTCTAAACATCTCTTGAACTTTCATGGACTTCTGGTGACAGTAATTTAACAACATATTGTGGTGGGTTTGTAATTAAGAATAAGTGGTGGGAGAATAAACAAGATTTATTCTCATTACAGGTTAACCTGTATTTAATGTGGTCTGGCTTGTATTTTTATTTTACGTTGCAGTTTCTAGACATACTGGTTTTTGTACAAATGAATCATTTTCTGTTACTATACCCATGTTTCTGAACCCAAACCATTCCCTCAAGTTGCATTAACCCTCAATATGCCTATTGTCTCAGTCTTTGGTTAAGACATACTGACTCTGTCTTTCTCATGAAATCTGTGTGTTTATAGGTTGCTGTTATGGGACTGTGATGAGAGGAGCTATAGTTATTACGTGGAGCTGTCCACAAACCAGCAACATTGGGTGAGAGTTGTAGACTGCACTAAGGTGGCGTGCAGGTCAGTGAATGTTGTTTTTATCATCTCATTATTTGCTTGCATTATAATTTTTATGTCTTAACGTCACGGTGTTTAAATATAATTGTAAGTTGTTTATTGCATGTAATTCTTAAAGGTCGTGGCAGACTATGACATTTGACAGACAGCCTGCATCCTTTATTCGTATTGTGGGAACTCACAACACAGCTAATGAGGTAAGTGATCTCTGAACACTCTCACAGGACTTTCTGTGACTCTTTCCAGCTTCACGTAAAAAAAAAAAAAAAAAAGTTCACCTAAAAATGAAAATCTGATGAAAATGTACTCACACTCAGACCATCCAAGATGAGCTTGTTTCTTCATGGGAACAGATTTGGAGAAATGTAACATTACATCACGTGCTACAGCATCAATGGATCCTCTGCGGTGAATGGGTGCCGTCGAGTGATGGAATGCTACATTGCTCCAAATCTGTTCGGAGTATTCATTTTTGAGTGAACTATGTCATTAATGCTGTAGCCCTAATGCACTTTTTTTCTCAATGCATTCTCCACTAGGTGTTTCACTGCGTTCACTTTGAGTGCCCCGCACAGGTGGACACGGTTGTTAAAGAAGGAAGTCCTGGACCAGATCAGCCCAAACCAGAATGCAGCTCCCAGAACTCAAATTCACAGAGCCTGATGTCCCAAAAACCCTCCATGTCTCAGCCTATATAAACTGTGGATGGAAGTATGACAAGACACACTTGAGATGCTCATTTTGAAAGATTGTGTTCTCAAAGTTACGTGCTGCTAAAAAAAGAACTCTTTATATTTATAATGAGAAAATACTTGAGCCGATTATAAGATGATGGTGAATATAACAATGACTGTCACATGCACTTATTTTATTATGTTCAGATAACTATAAGAACCATAATAATAAAAGTATTACAGACCTATTTTTTTTTTTGTAATACTGTCTCATTTATTAGACATCGTACACGTGTTTATTATAGAAAAGTACACAAAAATTAAAATTAAAAATTAAAATCACCATGGACTGCATAGGCACAAATATATCCAAAATTATTAACAGCATTGTTAGGCTGAATAGGAAAACTGACATTGTTGTATAACAGCAGAGCATAACAGCAGAATTGTGATTTATATGTCTTTTTTAGTTTAAATGTTTGGTTTCTAAACATCTCTTGAATTTTGATGGTTTAATGCTGCCAATAATTTTAACACAAAACCTATTGAGATTGGCAAGTGAATCTGTATTTAATGTAGTCAAGTCAAGTCACCTTTATTTATATAGCGCTTTTCAATACAGATTGTGTCAAAGGAACTGTACAGGATTAATTAGGAAAATAGTGTGTCAATAATGCAAAGTGACAATAGTAAACACTCACTTTTCAGTTAAAGGCAGTTCATCATTGAATTCAGTGATGTCAACATCCAGCTCAGTTTAAATAGTATCTTTGCAATCAAGTCAACGATATCGCTGGAAATTCAGTGTCCCCAACTAAGCAAGCCAGAGGCGACAGCGGCAAGGAACCAAAACTCCATCGGTGACAGAATGGAGAAAAAACCTTGGGAGAAACCAGGCTCAGTCGGGGGGCCAGTTCTCCTCTGACCAGACGAAACCAGCAGTTCAATTCCAGGCTGCAGCAAAGTCACATTGTGCAGAGGACTCAACTGGCTCCTGTGGTCTTGTCCCGGTGGCCGTCTAGGAGACAAGGTCTTTACTGGGGATCTGTATCTGGGGCTCATCTAGTTGTCCTGGTCTCTGCTGACTTTATGGTGTCACTCACTAGGATGCATTTACTTTGAACAGTTTTGTTCATGTTTTTTATTTTAAATGTTCACTTTAAACTAACTTCTGCCAAATGACAGTTTGCACTAAAAAAATCTAGAGTTTGATTGGACACAGGGCCTTTGACATCAGCAACAAAAGATATGAGCGTTTCTTGTTCCCTTTTTAAAGTTGCCATGTCTTTTATATTTTGTTATCTTAACTTATTATATAAAACGCAATATTATGTAGTTGCATTCTATTGTTTGCATTTAGCATTGTTTAGTTTTTTATTCCTTGCTCTCTGAACCACATTAGTACAGACTTGGGTTGGAATCCACCAAATAAGAATCACTGGTTCTGTTCAGGATGCTCACAAATGAATATCATATGAGTTTTGTTATAATGCCAGCTAGATGTGGAGAGTGTGAACGAGACTCCGTAGTCAAATCACATATTAACATACTTCCCTCGATTTGATAAATACTGAGTTTCAATCAGACACGGAAGGGTGAGTGACACCATAATGCCACCATCATTAAGTAACCAGGAACAGATGCACCCTATCAAACTTCCTTGCCGCAATCAAGAGACTTCCTGAAGGGCTGGAGGAAGATGGAGACAGACAGACAAGGAGTGTGAGGTTGAGTGGGATGCCAGTACCCTGCTGAAAAGCCCGGCGTAACCCTATAAAACCTACTGCATTTGATCTGATATGCAAGTTTCTTAGGCCTCTAAATTATCAACATTATCAAAACTTTTGGCACATGATCTTCTTCATGCATTGTCAACTTTTTACCAAGTAAAAGGCCATTTAGTATAAAATGTCCAGCTTCAGGTTGTGATACATGTGTCTGCTGTAAAATCTTCAGTGTCTGGAGAATAACTTGTATATTGGTAGTAATATTTCAAGATGAATAATTACTGGACTAAAAGAACTGAGGTTTACTTGATTATACATAATTTATTAGAAAATCGTGTTAAAATATCAAATATGATACACCAGGCTTTTGAGCAACGTTCATGTGTTCATCTTTCAATCATCATTGGATTGCATTGCATAACATGTTTAGAAACTACAGAGCTTTGTTCATAAAACTAAGCATTTAAATATAATCTTACTAAGACATTGATATATTTCTATGCATTTTATGTTAATGCTATTAAAATATGAATAATTTACAAACGATCAGACTTTAATCTAAATATCGAAATTTCATAATTATGCTCAGTTTTAGCCTCTGAATAAATTTGAGGTGTTTTACGCAATAAAAGCCTGGCGTATGATGCATGTGTGGCATAATAGGTAAGATGGGCGTGATTTCCCGAATTGAATTGTTAGGGCGGGCATTTTTGCGTCATTGATTGGTACAGTCTATAAAAGCCATTGGCTTATGTATCTGGGCAGGCATCCGCAGTCTCTGCTGAATGTGACCGTGGTTCAGTAAAGGAGAGCGGCTGCGTGTACAGCCTTGTTTGGCGTTTAGCCGCGGCTGCTCTGTTCGGCTGATGAATGTGATCGCATCGGTCCTCCTCCAGAAATCATTTGGGTGGATAATATCCCCGCAGTGGCGTCACCGCTGTCTCGTTCCAGGTCGAACGTCATTGAGTCTGTGTGTGCGTTGAGTCCCGGTCGTGTTGTTGGACCTATGCCAACGGACTTTGTCTTAGTTGTGTACAGGTTTTGTGTCTGAAAGTTTGAGTCTTTATTTTGTGTTTTAGTTTTGTCTGATTTTTCTATTCCTTTTTCAAATTAGTCTATTTTCTGTGTATAAGCTATTTATTTTTGAAGTTGGATTATTTTTTTGCTTTTGTTAATATTGTGAAATCTTGTATTGTTAATTTAGTTACCTTAGTTTTTTTGTTGTGATTTTCATTTAAAGTGTATTATTTGAGATTTGAGTAAGTTGTGATCTGGGACGATTCGTATTAATTGGTGTGAGTTTGTGTGTTTGAGTCTTTTTTTCTTTTAGGAGCTGCTGGCCTTTATTGATCAGGGTCGATGATCTCCTCTTTAGACGGTGGTGGTGGTTCTTCATTGTGTGTTGTGGCCTTTTGCATGCACTGGGGTTTTTATTTTGGTATGTGAGTGTGTTATGTAGATTAGGAGCCCTTTCTGGAAAGTCTTTCCTGTACTTTAGGCCGCAGCTCCATGACATTTTGAATGATTAACGATCGTATAAACCTTTCTAAATTGATGTTTCTATTTTATTGATTTTATGCTACCTTAATAAAAGATTGGTGTTTGATACCTGTGTCTCCACGTTTTGCTTGCCACTGGGTAGGGGACTTGTGCAAAAGTTACGGAGATTCTTTGGGTGAAATTCCCAATCTGGCGTAGTCGGCAGGATTCTACTCTTTGTCTGGTAGCTTCGTAGAGACTCTGGTATTAGTATTTTTAAATTTTTTTTCTCTCTTTTGTTTTTGTTTTCTGTTGTAGGAACGAGACAGTGGTGCATGTTCAATTGTGTTCCCCTTTAATTTTTTTTGTTACAGGTTATTTAACTTGTTTCTTATTATTTGAGGGAAGGATGGAGAATGAATTGCAGGAGTTGCGGGACTTGGTGACTCAATTAAGAGCCGATAATGAAAGGCTGCGACAGGAACAACCGTCGGTAAGTTCCCCTGGTGCTAGTAATGATAGTGCTGCTGCAGCAGTGGCTAGACCTTCATTGGCCAGTACTAGTGCCGCTCAAGTGGATAAGTTTGTTTTTGTGCCTAGGGACCGGAAATGTCCAAAATTTAGTGGAATGTCCAGTATAGGTATCGATGAATGGGTTGATGAAGCGCAGGTTTGTATGCGGGCCCGTTGCTTATCACTGGCTGACCAAGCTTTCTTTCTCTTCGATCATTTAGAAGGGGAAGCTTGTGAGGAAATTAGGCATCGCCCTGATACTGATAGAGGGGATCCGGCTAGGATAATTAAGGCACTTCGTGAATTGTATGGTTGTTCCTTGTCGTATGTAGCTTTGCAAGAAGCTTTTTTCTCCCGGAAGCAGCGTGAAGGGGAGACCCTGTTGGAGTTTTCCCTTTCCTTGATGGGCCTCAAGGAGAAAGTTAAGCAACAGTCGTCTACCGCTATGCCGAACGCTGAAATATTATTGCGTGATCAATTTGTTGAATTTGTTTTGGATCCGGCATTGCGTCGAGAACTTAAGCAATTGGTTCGTCGCCAACCTTTTGTGTACACTTTTGGATGTCCGCAGTGAAGCGATTCGGTGGGAGCGGGAAGGTATGCCAGGGGGTGCGAGGCTTCGAAGTCAGTCACTTCCAGTAACATATGGGCTTCAGTGTGGGGTACAAGGGAAGTCGCAAGCGGATGTTAGTAGCCCAAGGTCTGAACTTGATGAATTAAGGGACATGTTAAAACAACAACAAGAACAGTTAAGCCAACTTGCACAAGGGCTTACCCGGTTACAGGGCTCTCGTTTGCGGAACCCTTCTCCTCGCCGTGGTCCAGTAATATGTAGGCGTTGTCAACAAGTTGGTCATTTTGCTAGGGATTGTGATGGGGAGCGTGTTCCCCCTCGCCTCGGGCCGCCTTCTACGGCTGAATCCACAGCTGGGGGAGGCCAGATTTGTTTTGCGCGGCGGTCGGAAAACTAGTACCCACCGGACTGCAGAGCCACAGTTCGGTTGGGGAGTCTAATGGCTCTACATTGTATCCCGATTCCGCACTTACATTGATTGCGTCATGCCCCCATCTTACTGCCTCTTTCGGTGGAGTTTCGATCCCCTGCTTGATAGACACTGGGTCGATGGTATCAACAATTACAGAGTTTTTTTTTTTTTCCGGTAAGCATTTTGAACAAGGGGTTAAAACATGTCAGTGGTTACAGCTTCGAGCCGCTAATGGGCTCGAGATACCATATATCGGATACGTAGAGCTGGATGTCGAGCTCTGTGGTAAGTTAGTGCAGAAGTGCGGGGTTCTGATGGTCAAGGATCCTCCTGGCGGGCTCAACACCCAAGTTGCAGGTGTGTTGGGAATGAATATTCTCCGGCGCTGTTACCAGGAGCTCTTTGGCCAACATGGCCCTGCATTATTTAGTCTACCTTCAGTGTCAGAAGCTCCGAGAATGATGGTTCAGGCTCTTCAGCATTGTTGTCAAGTTGTTGCTCAGCCTGTTCAGGACCGTGCTGGTAAAGTTCGGGTACGCGGTCGTCGGGCATGTCATATACCCGGTGGCACAATGAAATTTGTGGCTGCAACGTGTTCAAGGCAATTTGCAGACACTACTGTGCTTTTTGAACCTCTTGAGGGTGGGTTGCCTGCTGGGTTGGTTGTAGCTCCCGCATTGATTTGTGTGACTAATGGTACTGCTTATGTACCAGTAGTGAATGTAAGCACCTTAGATGTTGTGTTGTACCCACATAACACCTTGGGCATTTTGAACACCATTCTGGTGGTTAGCTTGCCCACAGAAGTAGTAGAGGTAAAGTCCGCTACAGTTACTGTTAATTCTCAGGCCCCCCCGGTAAGTTCCGTGTTGGATCAGATCAATGTCATGGATTTGTCCATGTTGACCAGTAAGGAAGAAGCTCAGGTTAGAGCATTGTTTCGGAGACACCAGTCGGTGTTCTCTGCTTATGAAGGGGATCTTGGGTGTACCAACCTCATTGCCCATGAGATCCCTCTTTCTGATGATGTTCCAGTTAGGCAGCGCTATAGGCGAATACCTCCTTCAGAATATGAGGTTGTAAAAGCCCATATAAATCAGCTGTTAGAGGCACAGGTGATAAGGGAAAGTTCTAGTCCTTATGCTTCCCCGATAGTCTTGGTTAAGAAAAAGGACGGTGGTCTGCGCATGTGCGTAGACTACCGTCAGTTAAATTCCAAGACACGGAAGGATGCCTTTCCCTTACCGCGCATCGAGGAGTCACTGGACGCTTTGACGGGGGCCCGTTGGTTTTCAACCTTAGATTTAGCCAGCGGATATAATCAGGTCCCGGTGGTGGAGGGTGATAGGCCAAAGACCGCCTTCTGTACCCCATTTGGGCTATTTGAGTATAATCGGATGCCATTTGGGCTCTGCAACGCCCCCAGCACATTTCAACGGCTGATGCAACGGTTGTTTGGTGATCAGCAGAGTCAATCTTTGCTGCTGTACCTCGATGATATCGTGGTGTTTTCTTCATCTGTAGAGCAGCATTTAATGCGGCTGGAGGTTGTATTGAGTAGGCTGGAGCATGAAGGGTTGAAGGCGAGGTTGGAGAAGTTCCTCCTTCAGGAAGGAGGTGAGATATCTAGGGCATGTGATTTCATTGGAGGGGGTGTCAACAGATCCAAGTAAGATCGAGGCGGTGTCTCAGTGGCGTCGTCCAGAAACGCCTAGTGAACTACGTTCGTTTCTGGGTTTTGCAAGCTATTACCGCCGGTTTGTGGAGGGTTTTGCGAAACTGGCAGCACCCCTTCATAGGTTGGTGGCTGAGTTTGCAGATTCAAAATCCAGGAAGCGAGCTTTACCGAGTTTTGCGGCTGCGTGGTCGGAAAAATGCCAACAAAGTTTTGAAGGGTTAAAAGGTAAGCTTACATCCTCACCAGTCCTTACCTATGCAGACTTCTCTCTACCTTTCATTCTGGAAGTGGACGCCAGTCATGCTGGACTGGGAGCAGTCCTTTCCCAGGAGCAGGGAGGCAGGGTGCGGCCTATCGCATACGCCAGCCGCAGTCTTCGGCCCACTGAGCGGAATGTCCAATTACAGCTCCATGAAGTTGGAGTTTTTGGCGCTCAAGTGGGCCATGACTGACAAGTTCAGGGAGTACCTTTTAGGGCAGAGGTGTATTGTCTTTACAGACAATAATCCCCTTAGCCATCTGGCTTCTGCCAAACTTGGTGCTCCTGAACAGCATTGGGCCGCACAACTGGCCTCCTTTGACTTTGAAATTAGGTATAGGTCTGGGAGAAGTAATCGCAATGCGGACGCTCTTTCAAGACTCGATCCAGCAAGGCGTTGTGAGTTGAGCCCAAGGAGGTTTGGTACCAACGTACCACTGGAGGTACAACAAGTTTTGGATGAGCGAGTGGGTCCCCTGTGTACCCAGGAAGTTACCCAAGGAGCCGTTATGGTTTTTCCTAGTTATTCAGCTGATGACATAAGGTCATTACAAAGAGCGGATGTGGTTCTTGAGGAGGTCCTGGGATTTTGGGAGAGAAGGACATTTCCCAGTCGTGAAGAGCGTTGTCTATTCTCTAAGCCAGCTTTAGTCCTGCTCCGTCAGTGGGAGAGGCTGGTTAAGCGGGACGGGGTGGTTTATCGGCGTGTCTGCCGTCCTGATGGGGGAGAAGAGCTCCTACAGGTACTATTACCTGGTGCTCTGCGTAGTGAGGTGTTGACCTTGTTGCATCAGGAGCATGGGCATCAGGGAATTGAGCGTACCACTGAATTGGTAAGGCAGCGTTGTTATTGGCCTGGCATGGCTCTGGAGATAGCCCAGTGGTGTCGGCAGTGCGAGCGATGCCAAGGACGCACAACCACCTGCTCGAAGTTTCATGGGCCATTTGTTAGCGTCCAGGCCTAATGAGGTCCTGGCAATAGGTTTTACAGTTTGAGCAGTCGCGGACCGGTATAGAGATCTAAATACAGTATGGCTGTCCCTACTCGGGATCAGAGGGCGGAGACTGTGGTGGGAGTTCTGGTGACGGAGTGGTTTTATAAGCTGGGGGTGCCTGGTCGAATTCACGCAGACCAGGGCCGAAATTGAGTCCCAGCTTATGCAACAGTTGTGCAATTTGTATAACGTTGAGAGGTTTCGCACTACGCCTTACCACCCGGCTGGTAATGGCCAGTGCGAGCGATTCAACCGTACGCTGCACAACCTTTTGCGTACCCTCCCAGTTTCCAGAAAAAGGGATTGGGTGTCTTGTGTGCCACAAGTACTGTTTTGTTACAATACTACTCCCCACCAGACCACTGGTGAATCTCCTTATTTCTTGATGTTCGGGCAGGAACCCAGACTCCCAGTGGACTTCCTTCTGGGAAGGGTCCAAGATGTGGTACCTGGTACAGTACATGACTGGGTGGTAGAACATCAAACCAGGCTCCAGGTTGCGTTCGAGGGGGCTCGTGAGCGGATAAAGGCGCCTGCAGACCGCCGAAAGGCTAATCACGATCAGCATGTTCGGGACGCTCCGTTGGTTGATGGTCAGATGGTTTATATCCGGGACTGTGGTAAGAGAGGTCGTAATAAAATTCAAGACTTATGGAATTCGGTGGTGCACCGTGTAGTGAAGGCGCCGAGCGAGGG